TGTAATTAATGAATTCAACAAGAAGAGAACCTCAGAATATGAATATGGAATTAGTAGCTAACATCACCACATTCTCAGGTTACAAAGTTTAGTCCTACATTAATACAGAGAAAAAGATAGGGAAATCACCGTCTCTTCTGCAGATGAAAGCTGCGTCGACCACCAAAGCAGAGCAGCAGAGTATTGTCGTTGAAGATGATGCGTAGAAGATACGTATACGTGATGGTGTATATAATGTTGAAAGGGTAAATAAATATAATTATTAGTAATCAGTAAATTTCTCCCTAAGTCTCTCCATTTTGGGAGGAAAGCTATGAAAAGGATTTTTTTCTTTCTCAAAAAAAATTAATAATAATAATAATAATAAAGAACATTATTTTTTATATTTTCTTTCCTATAAAGAACGGACGTATCTCAGGCTCCTCCTATACTTATAGTTTTCTTACGTTAAAAGTTTGGGGTTTACTTCGGTTTAAAGTTTGTTCTTTATAATGGCGAATCTAGAACAAAATATCATGTGGTTCCTAAATTAAGTGGAGCCGATAAAAAAAAATCAGCAACACTTGTGAAGGGGTCGGGTTGGGTCGGATCGTATACGATTTAATGAAATATAACTGAAAAAACCGATCAGGCACCACCAATTAAAATTTTAAAAAACCGACTAAAGTATAATTGAAAAAACCGAACGATTTAATGAAAAACTAGTTGATTATTAGTGCATTTATACCTTATTGTTTGATAAAAACTATATATTATATTTAACCCTATATATTTAAAAGCACAAATGCCCCATATAACTTATTTTTTTCTCCTCTTAAAATGGTTTTTTAAGAAATTTTTTTAAAAACAAACTCAAAGTAGGTCTTTTATTTTTTCTAAGGTGGTTCCTAATTTTTGTGGTATATATATTATAAATGAAATTCAAATCTTAGGTAGGTCCTAAGACCTACCTTCATGCATGTTAAATACGCCCTTGTCTTTACCTTTAAAATTTTACATTGATACCACAAGTATATTATGATAATAAATATAACTATAGATTTAATTGACTATGCAAGAAAGATATAATTTAAAATGTTTTTATTCAAATTTGATATCATTTTAAACGATATGATTCAAAATAATATGATTTAGAGCATATAACCATTTGCTCTGTATTCAACTTGTTTCATAACATATTAAAAAACATGATATCAACAAAAAGTTATGTAACACATGATATAATCAAAGTATACAACTATTTGCATCATGACATATTTATAAGTGAAGATCCAAAATTTGTTTGAAAATCAAAACTTGTTTATGAATAATAAATTATGTGAAAATTTTAACTTAATTAAAATTATATTATTCAAAACATATGATTCAAAATCGGATGATTCAAAACTGATATGATTAAAAATGATAGATATGATTTAAAATTATATGTTTAAAAATGTTATGATCCAAAATAATACGATTTCAATAATATGATTAAAGTTATAAAAAGTTATTTTCAAGATTATGATGTATGATTCAAAACGATATGGTCCAAAATTTAATGATCTAAGGTGTTATGATACAAAATGTAATGATTCAAAATGTTATGATCCAAATTATATAATTCAAAAGGTTAGGATCTAAAATGGTATGATTTTAATTATATAATTCAAGTTATAAAGATTTGTTTCCAAAAATCTAATATATGATTGGAAAAAATTATGATACAAAAACTTTGTGACACATAAACTACATCTCAACCCAACTTTGTATGGACAATCGGAACCACCCTTGCGTCGATCAATATTACAACTAGATTGTTTCCATTTACAACATATGATTAGTTGGAGAAATACAAAAAAGAAAAGAAATAGTAAGAAAAAAATAAAAATATATATAAACATAAAAAAAAAACTAGCAAGATTACATAATATCACTAGCTAGACATGTAAAGATCGGCAAGGAAAGTTATAAGAAATATAAAGATATTATACAAGAAAAGTTAAAAAAAAAATAATAATAATAATAATAATAATAAGATAGTTGGTTATTAGTAAAATAATTGCAAAAATTTTCCAAAAGACATTAAATTTTAAAAAATTCATTTGCGAAATTAAACAGAAATAAAGTGGTGGATTTCAAACACCCACTCTTCAACTTTGTAATGACACGTTATCACTATGTTGAAGGTTGTGATGATGTTTTTGCATATCAAAATTTGGTGTCTCATGCACCACATAAGCATTTGTCATTCTTACCAATATTTGTTTATAAGTAGAGTGTGGCGTTGTTCTTGCTTATGAACTTGTTTAAAAAAAAAAAGTTAACATTTATGTTTTATATATCACAAGACAACAATTGTACATATTATATAATATGGAAATATATATAAAGTATTTAAATATTTAAATAAAATGAAATAAATAAGAAAATTGATAATATATATATATATATATATATATATATATATATATATATATATATTATATATATATATAATTTTTAAAAAGGAAAATAGTCACGATTTCAAGTAAACCATTCTGATTCAACCTTTTGTTTTAGAAGAGTTGAAGTAAAAGATAAATATTAAAAGAGTGGATCTAAATGCACCTATTTGTTATTGTATTTTCGTTTTGATGGTAATGTTTGTTGTTTTTCATTGTATTTTATTGTTTTTCTCTTTTTTTACCTTTTTATTTGGAACGGCTGAATTTTATAAAGAAGCAAAAAGCCTTAGCAATAAGCTAAAGACGAAATTGAACAATTACATTATAATGTTCAAAATGGGGTTTAGACATAAATGTCACGGAATAGAAAATTTATGCTTCTGATGTACCATCCAATTAAAAGAAAAAACAACAATATCATCAAATAACTTATCTTGTCTAGATCTCGATTGATCAAAAACACATTTATTTCTGAACTTTCATATGAACCACCAATTCATGTAGTTAATAGCTTCCAAGATCGTCTTCCTATTCATATTTAAATGAACAGCCTCCAAGAACAAAGACAACACATCCACTGAATTTAACGAAGATAAATCTAGATCACACCACTGACTGAGTGTGGTTGAATCAAATCTTTTGCAACCATACAATCAAGAAAAAGATGATTAACACTCTCCACTTGATCCATGCAAATAGGACAGAGAGAATCGAGAACATCAATACCTCTAAAGATTAAGTTATCTTTAGTATGTAGACGATTAAGAGGAGCTCTCCAATTAAAAATATTCACTTTGATCGGCACCAATCTATTACATCTAGTTTCACCCGTACCATGAGGTAACACTATGTGTCCATGTCATAAATTACTTCACGTGTATCTTTCACCGAAAATTTAACATTATTAATCAAATTCCACAGCTAAGAATCTTAGAGTCTCGAAATTGAATATTATCAATTAACTCTACCATGGCAAAAAATTAAGCACTTTGAGCACCTCCTCTCGTATCATACCTCGACTCCAATGCCAATTATTACCCTTAGAATATTTGTTTTTTACCTTTTATTGTACTTTACTATTAGTAGTAGTATTAGATTATTAGTATTATTGTTGGTGTTATTAGACAAAATTACATAAATGGTCTCTGTGATTTATCAAAAATCACAAATTCAATCTTTGCTAAAAAAAATTGATGAATATGGTCCTTATGGTTTTCAAAACTTGAATGAATGGTCATTCTTGCTAACACTTTTAGTTTTCATCAGTTAGTGTGGGTGTAATTTGTTTAGGGAGTAAGGACTGAGTTTGTGATCATAAGTAAACTATAAAAACCATTTGTGTACTTTTTTTATATTTTATGTTTATAAGTTTGTGACTTTTCCACTCATTTACTTTTTAAAATGTCACTTTGACCATTCATTTTAAACTTTATAAAATATTATTTTCACCCCTTCATTTTCTAAATTTTCATGTTTATCCCCCGTGGTATATATAATTTGATTTTCCATCCAAAATAGAGGTAATATCTCTCTAGTTTATCTTAAATAAACATCTTTTCTTTTTTCATAAGGATGCAATTGAAGTTTAAGGTTGGTTTTCTCGACCAAGGACGTCCAAGTTTTTTTTTTTTTTGAAAGTTTTGCTTCTCAAAATCCATTTGTTTGAAAGTTTTACTTCTAAATTTTCATGTTTATCCCTGTGGTATATATAATTTGATTTTACTCCAAAATAGAGATAATATCACTCTATTTTATCTTTAAATAAAAATCTTTTAATTTGATTTAGGGTTGGTTTTCTCGACCAAGGTCGTCCAAGTTTTTGTTTTTGAAAGTTTTGCTTCTCAAAATCTATTTGTTTTAGAGCTCAATAATATATATATATATATATATATATATATATATATATATATATATATATATATATATAACTTGAGCTTACCAAACATATGTGGAAAAATACCCGATGAGGATCCCCGTTGGGATGGGATTTTGATTGTTTTTTATTACCCGATGTGGATGCAAATGGGGGCGGGGATATGGTTATGGGGATGGAAAATGAGATCCCTAGTATATCCGTCCTTGTTGCCATCTCTAATAGTTTCTCATCCGACAGAGCTTAATGGTTATTTGGTCATTGTGTTCCATCTCGTTCATTGAATAGATCAAGATATGATCACAAAACAATTAAGACAAGGTTTACAAATCCAATTCATAAGATCCATGAATTGGTCCACAACAATTGTCAAGCCAAACGAAATCACAAAAAGTTCAACTCTAATAACAGGTTTTAGTTCACTTTGAAAATTAAAATACTCCACCGTGGTGACAGTTGACAATAGGCATCACCTAGGGGTAGAGTCATTCCTAAGTAAGTGGAATTCTATCCATAACTGTGTCATTGCACATATAGCATTATACATGTCATTCGTTGCAGTTTTACATATTGTTGGATTATGTTAGGCTTGAGATTTTGTTAATCATTTAGCATACAAAACTTTTGTTAGCATACAAAACTCATATACATGTTACAAAAGCAATTATTTTTAGTATGTATAGCTCCATACATACTAAGTTTTTCTGTCATGAGATTCCAATTGGAGTTCAAGTAAACATTTACAACCAAAAACAGCAGGTTAATGTTCCACCATTATAAATTCGGTTTTAAAGTATATGAGAACTAAAAAAGGTTTCCTTAGCCCTCACAGCCATCTAAAGCAATAAATTGCAACAATACTTTCAAAAAATATAACTGCTTTTGTTTGACATACCAAAAAGGCAAAAACCCATGTTGCAAAACGTAAAATTACGGTTCTAGCCTTCGAGGGTCGCGTGGGAAAAGTGAGACTTTGCGTATGTTGTCAAGGCCACAGAAGAGCATCACAACACGTTCCAATCCAACTCCAATCCCACCATGTGGTGGCGCACCATACCTTCAACAAATGCCACAACATATAGTTATCATAAACAGCATATCACGAGGGTAAATTTGTAAAAGGTTAAGACTTAATAAGAATAGACTCAATTCTCTTGACTCTCTCAAAATAAGTTTTTTTTTTTTTTGCAGATTATTGAAACTGCAACATACTTTCAGAAACTTGTTCAACAAATGCCAAAAAATAGTCATCTAATTGGCATATAACTTTTCGAAGTAAAAAATGCCAATAATAAAGAAAAGTAAAATATGCAATTCAGTAAATTTTCAAAGTAATAAGAAAAAACTTGAAAGTAGAATGCTATAATACAAAAAAATGAAATTACAATGCTCTAAAATAAAGAAATAGTAGGATGCTATATACCCAAAGAACATATACCTGAAAGAATCGATGTATGATGATATGGTTTTGACATCTATGCCACATGCTGTTGCACGTGCCTCTAGAAGCTCAGGTATGTGCACACGTTGAGCTCCTGAAATAATTTCCTCCCCTGAAAAAAGAACATATGAAACTTCAGCACCAAATTTACATACTTACCCTTAGAAGCTGAAAGATTTTTAGGGCTACTTGTCCATTACCTCTGATGAAAACATCAAATGAGTTGCTATACAACGCATTGTCAGGACAGGGCATTGTATAGAAAGGTCGAACTGCAAGAGGGTAGCGGTGTAGTATATAGAATTCAGTTCCATACCTACAATGATAAGAGTAAGAAAAAACTTCTTCAAGGGCAAAATTGGAAGACAAAAAGTATAGGGTATGTCAATAGTTTGAGAATTTCAACGTACTTTTCTAACACAAGTTTTCCCAATGTTCTTTCTGATTCTGTGTTAAGGTCCCCAAGTGGATCCACCTCAACGCCAGCTTCCTATTCATGCATATTTTAAAATTTAAAAGAAAAAAAAAACAAAAACAAAACAAAACAAATGTTATATTTTTGACTAACCTTTAGCATTTGAACCCCTTCTTCAAATGTAAGCCGCAAGGTATTACGCAAGTACTGTATGTTTAATAACAACCAACATTGAGAAATTAACATATTGTTAAAAAAAAAAAACATAAATATGTTTGGGGACATTTGATTAACAAAATGTGTTTTAGAGGAATAGAATCTAAGGGTATGTTTGGATCACAAATTCTTAAGGAATTTAAGGGAATTGAATGTGCCATTCCATTTTGTGAGGTCTGATGTGTTTGGTTGTCAAAAGAATGAAATTAGATTCTTTCAAAATTTGTATTTGATTGATTCTAACATTTCTAAGGGGGTGGGAATAATTTGAATGCCATTAAACTTTCCTACTAAAATGACATAAATATCCTTGTAAACTTATTTGATTAAACCACAAGACACATAATTTCCATTACTACACTATTAATACCTCATTTAGATTATTTTTCCAATAATATTTTATACATAAAGGTTTTATGTTTATGTTCACCAATAATTACATTTTTTACACATCAAGCTCTTTCATATTTGGCAAAATCAACAATTTCTTTTGGCATTAGAAATCGATTGTTTCACAAGTTTATATAAAAACTATTTTCATATAAGCATTTGTAAAGCAAATAATACTTTATAAAACCAAAACAAAGGGGTAATTCTGTCATTTTTGGATTATCGTTATTGACATTGCAAATCCTATTTCATTTTTTTTATCCATGCACCATATAGATTTGAACTGGTTCAAATTCAAATAAATTCCTTAACATTCCAATTCCTTATAGAGATTCAAATTCCTTTTAAAACATTCCACAAACCAAAATGGAGAATTGGATTCAGTCAAGTGTTTAAATGGCTGGAAATGAAATGAAATTCAATATACAAAAGAGCAAATCACAGAATAACCATTATTGTTTGAACAATTTTCGTGTTTAACCACTTATACTTTGTTTTTTCTAATCAAACCATTTAAGTTTTAGACTTTTTTCCAATTTAACCATTTTGACCTGATGTCAAAATAGTGAAATTGGAAAATCACCAGTATAACTTGAAGTCAAAATGGTTAATTTAAAAAAATAGTATCCAACTTTTAATGGTATGATTGAAAAAGTAAAGTAAAGATGATTAAACCGCAACCCTGCCCAAAATATAATGGTTTTTTTTTTGTAATTTGCCCTGATGAAATTGAATAATTCCTAAATTTGTTACTTTTATAAATTACTATCTATACATACTTATTGTATTATGGTGTTCTAATAACTGAATTCCATCTAACATGGAACATTAGGGAATCAGATAAAAATGACTTTAATCCATTTAGCAACCAAACACACCCCAGAATGGAATCTTGGATTCCAGTTCCGTCGGATTCCGCCAAAATCCATGAACCAAACACATTGCTATTACACAAATGAAAGAAAAAGAGGATCTGAATTACTTTCAAAGGCGTGAAGGGGTACTGCTTCCCAATAGCTTCCAGCTCTTTCTTGCATCTTTCATTCAATTTGTCAAACATATTAACAAAAAGGCGATCCACAACATCCATCACCTAGAAAAATCCATTAAAAATTTCAAAATTAACTTTACAAATACTGTAAAATCACTAAAATATGTTCTTGATATACGTTGATTACAAATCATACCTCGGAATAATGCTCTTTAATCTCCATTTCAATATCAAGACCTGTGAATTCACACAAATGTCTATGTGTATAGGAGTCTTCAGCTCTAAAAACGGGACCCACAATGAAAACACGTCCAAGATCACCACAAATTGCCATCTGTTTGTGAAGTTGAGGTGACTGTGCAAGACATGCTGGCTGTTTCTTGTAATCCAGTTTAAAAACAGCTGCACCACCTTCACTACTTCCTGCAATTAACTTTGGAGTGTTGATCTCTATAAAATCTTCATTTAGCAGATACTGCCTAAACAACTGCACAAAATTATTTCAAAATCAGTATAGTTAAACACACACAAACACACACATCTATGAGATCATACATTTGCCACTTGGCACTCAACGCGATAAATTGCTTGATTTGCGGGAGTTCGCAAGTCCAAAATTCTGTAGTTCAAACGGGTATCCTGATTAACACGAACAAGTTGTTCTCCAGCCTGCATAAGTGAAGTAACCATTTTAGTGAGCAAAAGAGGATATAAGTTCATTAATAGCAGTTTCTTCAGTAGTGCCATATACAAAGTCTACAAAAAGTTAAGCAGATTAAGTTTGCATTATTCATATGATACCTCCAAAGCCTTCTCAATTTCAACTTCACTTCTGGCAGCATCTTCAACATTTATAGGAAGAATAGCAGCAGCCCTGTTTACGCAATGAATCTTCCTAACTTGAACTTCAACCTACAAATTATAAATACTACGAAATCAGTCTGAGTATCAACTAATTGCAAAAATAGTCTAATTCTAACTGATTACTAAATTGAAAGATTGCAGAAAGCGTGTAGATGTTGGTGCAAAAGCTAGAGGAGTAATTATGCAAAAAACTAGTGTAATTCACCTGTTGAGAGGCACCTTTGATTGCTTCTGGGGGAACTGTTACCACTCCTTCGATGTCAACGAAGGATTCTTTGCTAATCGCAGTTGCATACTTAACCATCTGAGCGCTAGCAATGTCAGGAGCCACCGTCAACACACATTGGACTGTATATCCCTTCTCTCTCACAGTAAAAAACGCCATCTTCTTCCCGACAGCGCGAATCGCCTGAGCTCTCCCCCTTATTAGCACGGTACGGTCTTTGAGTTCCTCGGTGAGAGAGCTAACGGTGGTCCACACACGACCGGAAATAGCCTTTGACTGAAGGTCTTCAATAGGAATATCACCATAGTTGGCGGCGAGAGGGTCAGGGGCGTCAATGGAAACGCCAGCAACGCCAGATGCGGCGGCGGAGGCGGCGGCTGCTTCCTGACGGCGGCGGAGCTTTTCTGCTTTCGCAGCCTCCTTTTTTGCCGCTTTTTTGCTGGTCTCTTGTGATGGCTGCTGTTCTGGTTCCATGGGCAGGTATTCTGATTTCTGGATTGGCGAAGGTGTAGAGGAGCGGAAACGATTTAGGGTTTGTGGAATGCAAAATTGCGAAGAAAGTGCGATTTGGAAGGCGAAAACACTCTAAAACAAAATTCGGAGTTTGGGCTGTATCTAAAACCTAGAACGTGGAACTAGGGGCGGATACATTCTTCTATTTTAGTTCATGGTCCATCTTTCTAAAATTGAAAAATATATTCAATACAAAATAATGTTTCAAAAATAAGTTCGAGGGTGTTTGGCTTTCCTTTTTAAATGATTTTTAGGATTTTTGGCTTTTTCAAAAGTTGTTTGTTAACTTTAAAAGATCTTTTAAATTAGTTTTTTTTCCTTTTTAAATGATTTTTAGGATTTTTGTCTTTTTCAAAAGTTGTTTGGTAACTTCAAAAGATCTTTTAAATTAGTTTTTTGAGAAGAATAAAAAGAAGGGGTTAAGAAGTCACCAATCTGTTACTTTTAGCAACTTTTGGCTTTTTTCTCTTTGCTCCCTCAAAAGTTTATATAAATACATTTTAAAACTATCTTTTGGAAAAAGACATGAATCAAAAAGTCTTTCTGTAAAGGGAGAATTTCATATATGTCCTTTTTAAACTTCAAAATATCATATTTGCCCAACTTAATTTCTCAATATCATATTTACCCTTCATAAACCTTTAAAATATCATATTTGCCCAAATCATTTTTTATAATGTTTTTAATATTTTATAATCATTTTTTATACCTTAGAATTATTATAATAATTAAAAAATTTAACCATATTATCCTTACGTCTATGATAATGAAATGTGAACTTCTAAATTGTTGGAATGTCGCTCTTTTAACAAACAAAAAGATTCATCTTCAACCCTCTCTATGGAATGTATATTTTGATTGCTTAGTTTTTGTTGTTGTTGATTATTATCATGTTGTAGATGGAGGATATTTTAGATATTACCATTGATATTTTAATGTTTAAAAAGTACATATACGATATTTTGATATTTAAGAAGGGCATATATGATATTTTGATGTTTAAAAATGACATATATGATATTTTGAAATTTTATGAAGGGTAAATATGATATTTAGAAATTTTATAAAGGGTAAATATGATATTTAGAAATTTTATAAAGGGTAAATATGATATTTAGAAATTAAATTGGGTAAATATGATATTTTGATGTTTAAGAAGGGCATATATGAAATTCTCCCTTTTGTAAAAAAAACTTTTTAGTTTAAAAAGTTATCTCAAACACATCCCCTAATCTAATCACTTACATAAAAAAAGATTTGAAAGTACATCGGTTTTATCGGTTTTATGTTTATTTTCGAGATGAGTTAGACGGTTTTTATAAAAACCATGTTGAACCGGTGAAATAGAAATTTGATGATATTTTTATATCTATTTAGACTTTTCTTATTATTGTATATATTTTTTGTTCATATTTATTCTTTACAATTGGGAGGACTATGAAAACCCTTTGAATATGAGATAATCATTTAATATTTGATTTTATTTATAATATTTATATTGACCAACTTTGTAGACCCTCAAAATGACAGAATTCTTATGTATCGGATCTTTGATTAAAAAAAAATCAGTAGCATAAGTGATGTCGCTTTGTTAAATGGTATGACACTTTTGTACTGAAATTATATAATTTTGTTTGGTACGGAGGTTATGTAAATTCCGGAAACTGAGTTGACCCGGTGGTCAGACCGGTTGAACCGAGAACCAGTTACCAAACCGGTTATAAAAATCTGATTTATAAAACATTGATGTAAAGTAGTCGAGTTTATAAATTTTGATCAATATTACACAAATTCTTATTGTTAAATACTAAATAATCAATTTATGATAATCATTATTGGTATAACAATGCATACAGTATTTTTGGTTGTGGAAAATTGTATTTATTTATCTAGAAAACGTTTTCAGAAAATAGAGTTGAGTTTCAATTTTAGTTTTTAATGAAAATTTTAAAAACGTGTTTCATTAATCGGTGGAGTTTTCATTTTCCCGTTTTAGAAATTTAGAAAACTTTGGGGAACTTTGAAAATCACTTTTCTAATTTACATACAATTTAGAAAACATAATTTTTTTTTATTTTCTTGCATTTTCAACATTTTTTTTAAACGGCTGAATGTATTAATAGCAAATAAGAACAAATTAGTTCACGAGAAGATTAAGCTTCTGAAGATATATATATATATATATATATATATATATATATATATATATATATATATATATATATATATATATATAAATATTATTTTAGAATAGTAAAATAGTTATGGAAATTATAGATTACAGGTTTTAACAAATTATTAATCAATTATATGTACAAAAAATATTTTCTTTTATAATTTTACCGATATTTAAGAAATTTGAAAAAGGTAATGCAATCAGTAGTTGCTTTTCGTAACTTCACATATTTTTAATGTTTAGAAGTATTAAAACTTTTAAAATGAAATAGTTTTAGATTTGAATCTATAAACGTTTTCAAAAAGAACTTCTAATAAAAGAAACTGATTACTTAATTATTTTTTAATTGTATGATTTCAATTCAAAGTATTTAAAAAACGTATTTAAAAGGATATTAACAAAAAAAAGACCACATGCATGCTTATGAGATATATATATAATAAAGTTTTGTATATAACTTCTAAAATATCAAAATATTATATTTTTCTAACCTAAATTAGCCATATAGGAAAAATCAAATAGCACTTCAAAGCAAATACCTTGTTTGTAGATTATTCACAAAATGACATGTTTGTCTAAATCAAATATAAATCAAATATGATGTCCATATGTAGGGACTAGCAAAGGAACCGGTCCGAATCGGAACCGGCCCGGGAACCGAACTTGGTGAAAAATAGGAACCGAACCGGACCGCCGGTTCTACCGGTTCTTACCGTGACTTTAATGTTGGAACCGATCCTTGAGAAATAGCAACATACGGTTCTGGTTTTTGTTGGTTCTACCGGTTCCCGGTTCCAAAAATCCACAACAATATCGTCCCGGTCCCGGCCCGACCGGTTCCATCGGGTTCCGGTTCCGGTACCGGTTCCAGTTCCGCCTGGTTCCCCGGTCCATATGCTCATCCCTATCCATATGGCTTTGCCTCAAGTACTGTTGATGCATGATCCAAAATTTCCTTTTAGAGTTGTTATGATATTGTTTCATATTTTTAGTTATTAGAATATGGTAATTTACCTTATTATTTTGTATTTATAGTGAGTTTATATTATGATTATAGTAACTAGCTTGTAAATAGATCATTAGTTTGCCTATTTTATGTGAAGCTAAGTAAATAGACCATTAGCTTGTCTATTTTATGTGAAGTTAAGTAAATAGACCATTAGTTTGTCTATTTTATGTGAAGCTAACAATCAATGGAGACGATAGTTTCGATTTTATAATACTAAATTATGTGCCTTGTGGTTTTTCCCGTAAGGCTTTCCACCTAAAATCATTTGTGCTTATTTGCTCTTTATTTACCTTTACATATCCTATAGCATTGTGTTATTAAATACAATTACTTGAACCCGTAAAGGTTTTAGTCGACTTTTTTTCATAAACCTGCAAAGGTTCTTAGTCGACTCTCTTGAAGTTGAAACTTGCAAAGGCTTTCAATCGACAATGGTCTCAATGAAGTATGAAATCTTGTTGATAGATCAAGACACTTGGTTCTCACTATGGCAAGTCAATATGTAAGTATTATTGGCACAACAAGATTCTGTTTGCTTGAAATATTTTGGAATTGCATAAAAAAAATTACAGATTCTTGCATTGTGCTACAATGTACTTTTTTCATAACTTATATTTAATTTCTCACATATATGCTCTTACTCTCCCTTATAGATAACCCTTTTAGAGCACTTATGATCTTATAGTTGTATGCCACTCATAGGACGAAAAGTCTATGTGGTCCTAACGGCCTTTTTGTGTTTCCTTGGTGCTATTGGATCATTAAGAAACATACATAAACCATATCCACAAAGTTCGATGCTCATTTAGTGACATAAGATGTGGTTATAATATGAGAATTATAAGTAAACATTTATTTGTAAACAAACTGTAAAATATATATGGAATCCAATATCAATCCAAAAAAACCTAGTGGCAAAATGAGATTCCATATAAAAAGGTGTCACATCAATATGGGATACACTAACACTGTCTCCGAAAAACGAAGACTCAGTGAAAATAGACATGATGCCCCGTTTGATAGTTGTTGACTAAGAAAGTGTTGAATGAGAAAGGTCTGTCTGGGTAATAAATATTTGACTGAGTAAGAAACCATGTTGTTTGATTGTACATCTGACTAAATGTGTTGACTGATGAAAAATGATCATTTTACACTGTTGCTCTATATAGTGAAAAATGATCATTTTACTTTGTTGCTCTATATAGTAAAAGATGAAGTTGTTGAATAATTATACAAACATACATATTTTCATACAAAATGTACATTACACACAAATCATTTAAAAATCCAAATAAAAATTGTCATACAAAATGTAAATTAAACATAAATCATTTAATATCCAAATAAAAACATAATGAAATTTAAAATAACATAATAATTTAATGTAAAGTAGGTGAAAGTAGTTGATTTGCAATCTGATCACGCAGAACACACATATATTGAACGGCTTCTGGACCATATTCTATGCCTTGTATGTTTTCTCTATCAATTCCTCCACCTTGGACATCAGGAGTAACCATAGTGTTCTCCTCAAAATTTGTAAACAAGTCATCTTGTATATTGTATTTCCTTATAAAATTATGGACCGCGACACAAGCAATGACTATGTCTCTTTTCACTGTAAAAGGATAAGGAGCCATTTGTTTTAAGATTGGGAATCTCACCTTCAATACACCATAAGCACGCTCAATAACATTTATAAGTTGTACATGAGCATGATTGAACCTTTCTTCTCTAGTTAAAGGTCTGTTTCTTCGAAAATAGGCAAACCAATACCTAGTATTGCCGTACAGAGCCATAAACCCGCGAGTGGTTGTATATGCTGATGGGTTATGAGCACTACATCATTCCTATGGTATACATGCAAACCCTAAAGCTTTGGATCTAGTTTGTCTAATGAACATGCAATAATCATCCAAAGCCATAAACCCTAGATCTAGCATGTGATAATCGATATT